TATATATATATATATGTATATACATATATATATATATATATATATATATATATATATATATATATATATATATATATATATATGATTATATGTATATATACACACATGTATACATATGCCACAAGATTTGTATGTGTATGTGTATGCGTAAGAGTATGCGTATGCGTATGCGTGGTGTGTATATATATACATATATACACATGTATACATAGGCATATAGCATGCATACAATCATACACACATACATGCATACATACATTTATATATGTACATATGTATATAACTTAAACATGATTCGCTGCAAAATGATTTTTTGAATAATGTATTAATCTATATACAATGTACAGCACTAACGTGCTAAACCGTTTAATTTCTGATCACAAATTTGTACAAATTTTGTTTTGTACACATCATATTGGTCACCTATTCTATAAATATCTACTCACTTTTCGCTTTCATACTCAGCAGTGTGTGCGAGACGCTCGGAGACTTTATATAGCAAAATAATTTTTGCGAGTCTGTATCAGAAAATGCTTTCAGACAATAACCATTTTCACAGTTGTAATCTTCCTCTTCTTTTTTCTTCTTCTTTTTTTGTTAAGACTAAGGCGCTGTATAATTGCATGAAAATGATGATATAGCAAATCCTTGATTGGTAAAAGTTCTAACTGGTCTTTGGATATAACACGGCAATTACCTTTACTTTGGTAAAGTCTGATACACTTTTTATCATACTTTGTATATTGGTGCACATCTCATGTTCCTGTAAACTCGGATATATAACGTAAATCTCACTACTTCCAAAACAATTAGAGTTCGTGCCGCGCAATATCGTCGATGTATAACTTCGACTGCACGAATTTTCTTTTCTAACGAGTAGATTGTACTACAGCTTACAATAATTTTCACCTTTTCACGTAGACACGACAGTACTTGTCGTCGACGATTGAGCCACTGTTGTCACTGTTATCGTACTTAACGTACTGTCAAGAGTATTTTGTTCCGACGTTACCGTAACGTCCTTTTCAATACACGGTTTCTTCGGTTCCTTCTGCTCCTCTGAGGAACTTGACTTCCTCTTATGATTCGAACTCGACGAGTGAGACCGACTCGATCCCGAATCATCTTTCGATGAACGACCGCTAGACGATTTTTTCTGCCCATCTCTTCCATGACTATGATGACCCTCTCTTCTTTTTTCGGATTTCCTCTCACTGTCTTTATTATCCGTGCGATCACTAGTTTTATTAGAAACGTTATAGTCTCTAGGCAGCGTAATGATTTTCAGTGGATCCTCTTTACTACTAGTTTCTCCGATTTTACTGTCAGATTTACGTTGGGATGACGACGGACTCCGATGACGATGCTTCTTATGTTCCCTATCGCGTCTGTCTCGGTCCCTTCTATCCTTGTGGCGCTGACTTCTAGAATCCTTATCGTCTCTATGTTTTCTTTTGGACTCTGAATGAGCCGAATGTGAATCCGATGGCAATTTCGATGAATTTTCATCACTGCTACCATTTCGACTATTACTACTATGCTTTTCACTTTCTGTTGTCGGAGATGTAGATATAATTGAAGAACAAGAAGAAGAATTAGTAATCTTTGTTGTAGACGACGAATTTTCCTCGCACGAATTACTGGCAGTTGATGCACAGACTTTCTCAGTTTTTGATCTCTCCTTAGCTTCGTCTTCAGCCATCTCGATCAATGCTTTCACTGCATTTTCAGTTGCGCATTCCATTTTCGATGTAAAAGCCAATGTTGTTTCTACTTCCAGTAATTGACAATATTGCTCTAATTTTGATATATCATTTTTGTACTTCTGTTCGGCGATTTCAAAGCTTTCTTTATGTATTTTTTCTAGCACCTCCTTCGAAGCCTCTGCAACACCGGTTCGTAAAGACTGGCAAACTTCTTCCACGTCAGTTTTTGATTTATAAATAGCAATTTCTAAAGCCTTGTCTACAACTTCCGTTGCATATGTCTTCGCTATTAATTGCCGTTGCGCTAATATATCTTGTTCAAGAATAACAACGTTGCAATCGGAAGTTGTATCATGTTCCGACGAACAAAGCTCCGATGAGCTCAAACGTCTTTTACTGTCTTTCGTTAAAGAGCTTGAGCTGCTAAACTTATTGACAGATTTCGATTCGATAGTAGGTGAAATGGTTTCTTTGCTAGACGTAGTACTACTACTACATCGGTTATGGTGACGATGATGGTCTAATTTATGACCACTACAGTCATATTTTTTCTTGTCTCCAGAATGACTACTGCCGCTGCTGCTGCTATGAGAGTGATGACTGGACTTTTCGTTCGATCGACGACGATCTTCGTGTCTCCTTTCGGACCTTTTATCGTCTCTCTTCTCACTGGTCTGTTTTTGATCTACCGTGTTGTTCTTTGAAGATTTATTACTAAAAAGATCCGAACAATTATCGTTATTTTCCTCGGACTCTCTTCTTTTACTTGAGACGGAAGAATGTCTTGTATGGTCTCTGTTTTTACGTTCCTCTTTACGCTTTCCATGTTGATCTGATTTCTTCAAGTTCCCTTGATATTCGGCCGCTCTTTCTTTTGCCTTTTTCTCTTCAAGAGAATCAATACAATGTTTTTGTTCTACACGTTGGCGATTTGTATTCTCTTTCTGTTCATCTCCTATACTAACAACTTCCAAAGGTTTCTTTTCTTTTATGCGATGAGACGACTCACTTCCAACGCGAGTGTGTCTAATGTTTGTATTATGTTGTGATTCTGGATAATACTGTTTTAATCTGACGTGCCATGCCACACTTGAAACGGCCGAGACTGTACGAAACTGATGAATAATATTACGCGGTAAAAAGTATATGTCATTGTCATATAAATTTATTCTCGCATATCGAATACCCTGTCTACGCAATTGATTTAATTTAGCGTCTTCGATCCACTGTACACACTGAGATATTGGTGGTTCATGAAGATCCAGTTGCAATTTTTCGACTAGTTCAGGGAAGTCACCAGCATAGAACGCCACAACGTCCTTTGTAATCCTATTGTATTCGGAAGGTTGTCCACCATGAACAGCTTTCAATATACCTACTGCAGCTGTTGTCATTCTGTCTAATCCATGGCCCACGTGATCCGCATGAGCTTTAGTACGATCCTCGAACATATATTCACGGGCTTCGCTAAGACGAGGTAAGTATTGAAGATTTCGCAATTCGTTTATCCCCGTCCTACGTCTCTTATAAGGACTTTTATTTATATCTGCTGTTGGAACTAATTGCTCCCCTGGTCTAATCCATAGAATTGGACCGTCGTTTGATTCTTGAGGTGTATCCATTTTCACCACAGACAATGGACCCCAAGGCATAGTCTGAAATAAAAAGGGATGATGACCTTTTTGTATAATGCATAATACAAAATACGTGTATTCACAACTTTGTTGTGTTAGTTTATAAAATTATATTTGAAATATAGTAAACATAAGTCTTATTTATTACGTAAAATGCAAAAAGAACTACTAAACTTTTGCGATAAATCTTTATAATATGTGAATATGTGTTAAATTTAAAACACACAGACATAGAGCACAAAAAGTATAGTGACATAATCATATACATGTATTGAATACGTTTGTATCTTTTTTTCTTGTTATTATTCGTACACACACTAGTACTGTTTCATTCATATAGAATAATAAAGTATGTTTCTTTTAAAATTGTGCTTACCAGCTTTAAGAATGGATTTTCTTCTAATTTTTGTAATAGATCTGGAAAATATCCACCAACTTCTTCATGAACAGTTCCCACGAGACTTATTTGATGAAGGGGCCCATATCTAACAGTTCCATTACTATATGCTTTACAAACTTGTTCTTTGTACTGAACCATAGTTGTAGTTTCTATATCACTATTTCTTCCTAACACGCCATTTTTAACAGTTAAAGTGGGATAATTGTCTGCCATGTAATCTAATAAATCAGGGAGATATGCAGCAGCATTGTGTACTATACCCATAACATGATGGGCATTTCCATTTTCATCTTCACCAAAAACTACCTATAAAATCAAAATATTTTCTGATGTTTATATCATTTAGAAACAAGTGCAATATTTTGTATTACTAAAATTCAAATATAATTTTAGTTTATTGCATTAAATGTAACAATTTTCAACTATTTTTAGATCAAAGGTATTTTAATCATTATCGTCTTACATACCTTGAAATACTCTTGAGCTAATTCCTCTACTTGTTCGTGTGATAATGCATCAATTTCATCTTGATACATATGCACAACAGTTGCACCACCGTTAGGATAGGTTTCTATATGAATAAATTTCTTGTACTTTAGGCCTTCGAGTAATTCACTTTTAAGTGGTGGATTGTGAAGCATTTTATAATTTTTTGTTTGCAAATTTAACCTGAGATTTTCATTTGTAGACTTTGAGAATGCATGGGTTACTGGTTTAGAACTTAATGAAACCATACTGCGATCCCGTTTACACTGTACTCCAATGCTTGCGCGTTTTATTTTGCTACGTTTGTAACAACGTGAACAAACGCGCCGCTCACTGTGCTCCTTACTTCTTTTGTCTCTTGAAGATGTATAAGACTTTGAATGGGAACCCGAAGATGTAGAACTAATGCAATTTACTGATTTATTATGAGACAATGCAGCATCACTCCGTTCAACTATTGTCGTAGATACATTGTTAGTAGTCCAATCAGATTTAACGTCTAATTGTTCTAGAGAATCAGTTGGCTCTGCTTTCACTTCAACAACTTCTGTTTTAATATCTCTATGAACAATATCCATTTCTTCATCCATCTTTTCTTCTTCGTTCGATTTTATTTGTGTAATAGAAACTTGTTCTTCAGTTTTGTCCAATTGTCCGCAATATGAATAAGGCATCAGATTCTTGTTAGCTTTCCCAGTTAAATTATCTGTGTTATCTTCATCGTATGTTGCTGTATCCATTATAACTGTTGACGTTGCTATTGTTGATGTCATACTACTGGGAAATGTAGTATCTGGACTGTTTGGACTATCAGAAACTCTTGGGGGATAATCTGGACTTCTGGGACTGTTAATCACTTCACCGCTACTTTGAGGACTTTCCCCTAGTTGAGGTGTGTTAGTATTCTCCAGATTCATACATCCTTCTAATTTTGTTGATAATGTATGCATTCCATCTGATAGCGTCGTATCTTTGTTACATGCTGACTCAATCTAATAAACATAGTTTCAATATTTTATAGATTTATTATTTTAGGATTTCTAAATCGATTCGTCCATGTAATGAATAAATATACGTACGTGAATAGCATGCTGAACTGGTTCTATTTTAGGTTTTAATAACTCGTTATTGCAGTGATCAGGATTTCCTATAGTATACAAATAAAATTTCAAAATGCAATCACAAATGAAGTATATCACATAAAATATTTAATTACCGAATACTGCATTCAATTATTCAAAATATTCAACACTGCAATTTTTTTTTATAAGTAATGCGTATTTCATGTACGATAAATATTATTTTTAATATTGCAACATATTATTCTAAATAGTACATTGTCTAAAATGCTTACATTATATTTTAAATCTTTCTACAGTATACTATATGACTATTAACGAATATTATGGGATATCTAGTTTGTACTCTATACGTTGACACGTTATAAACAATAGTTTCTTTAATATAAATGTCAATATAAATTTCATGGCAAACATATTTTTTAACGTATTATTTATTTAATGTATTTATCAGACAGATACGTGTGTTTATATGACTCTAAATAACATTAAACGACATTACCATTTGGCTGTTCTGCAAGACAAGCAACATTGTCCAACTCATTTCTCTGATTAGACATGCTGTGTGCTTCCAAGGTTGGTATACGCAATGTAGTGTTGATAGCGAGTTTGTAAGTAGTACGTTCTTCCACATCACCAGAAGAGCTCATGAAATTCACGTTTCTCTGTAATCCTTTCCCTTCCGTGTTTGCATTAAACGATGACGCTGTAGAGAAAATCGTGGGCGTCGTGATTGAATGTAACGCTAAATCGTCCGAAAACTCGTTTGTCTCTTTAGTAACACTATTCCACGCTGTTCTGGACACTTTTACGTTGGTTGTTTCCCTTCGTAGCGGCTCAAATACTTGCTGAATTGTATTATTTACATCACATCGCTCATTTGACACGATACTTGTACCAGTTTCGGATGCCATCTTGATTCTGTGAGCAACATCCTGAACACAACGATACTACGCAACATTTGATTGGATATTTCTTCGTTGCCTTTCGAACAGACCTTATTCTATTCGTCTGAAATCGGATAAAGAGTAGGGGTAAGACCAGTAGATATAGAGGTACCATACACATTTTTATTCATGGGAATCTTCGATCTTCAACCTTGTTTTCTCCAAAATTTTTTGATTGCAAAAGGCCGTATATTGTTCATAATTCTCATATGCACTGCTTATTGCATGAGCACAAGGACACAGGTGTAAAACATTCAAGATAACTTACAGTAATTGATTGGGTTAAGCTCGGCTGCATACAAATACGCATAAGACTTTACCGCTAATTTTCAAATTTTTCCATATAAACACCTCATAGCTTCAATTTAAAAATTTCATTTCTTTATAAAACATTATGTAAAAATGTAAAAAATATTGATTAAATAAAAATAATTTCACGTAGAACAATAAAATTGTTAAATGTGAAAAATAATAAAATCAACATATAAGACTTTTATTTATTAATAAATATTGATTTAAATGTTTTGAATTAGTAAACTATATTTTAACATTATATTCGAAAATAAAATAGATGTATATAATATGTATGGTACGTGAGGTAATAATTATGCATGACAAATCAAAAAATTAAAAATGTTTAAGATTTTGTTAACTTTTGTAACACATGATATGTTTATCTGTTTAAGTATATATATATAATTTTCCTGTACAATTATTGATTGTTTTAATTAATATTTTTGAGGCACTAAGTTACTAGGAGTAACAACAGAAATTCTAAAATCTTTATTATGTATACTTGTATAAATTAAAATATAAGTATAAGTACACAAAAATATGAAAATCGTATTGGTTTTATATTTAAAAAATCGCTTGACATTATAATACCTAGAGGGATACAATACATTTTACAAATCTATAAAAATATTTATCTTCGGACTGTAGTTATACTACTTTAAAACTACTATACAAAATAATTGATTCTCTAAATATATGTCTTGTTCTACCGGATATTCTTGTGCATCGGTTGAACAAGATATTTAATAACTGTTGGTATGTGGCGCAATTTATCTTTCACGATGTGAGGAACTTCGGAGTTTTGATAGCGTTGATTGTATCGCGTAACAGTCCCGTTATTACTCTCGTAAATTATACCACCACCATAGCTTTGAGGACTTACCTAATGACAATAAATTCGTTTAAAATAATTAGTAATTCTATGTTTCGATCAACCTATTCTATTATAAGTTTCACTTACAGTTAAAGTTGAACCATCTTTATAATTGACACGAATATCTCCGGAGGATAGTTGTGTCGCGGTTCCTACTCCCGGAACAATTATCTTCATACTACTAGTATTGGAATTTTTTATGGAATTCAATTTACGTGTATGAGACGCTATCGTAGAAATGACTGAGCAACTAGCATCAAAGGATGGCATCTAAAATACATAGTACAGTTATAGATGACAATGCACAGAAGGCACACCAGATTCCATAAGTTTTTTTTTTTAAATAATCCGACTGATATTACAGTTGTTTTACAAGAAATTCTTATATAATATCCTTTACATTTGTCTTACCACAGGTGTATTATTTTGTATTGTTGCTTGAGAAACATTTTCTTTTCCTTGTAAGCAAGGAACATCATTTAAGGCCGCGCTAGGCCTACGTCCAATTATAACAGGAAAGCAAGAATGTCCAGTAGCTGTTTCTAAGGATGTTAAAGTAGACTCTAACAACAGACAACGCTGGTAGCATTCCGAGTAATGCTCATAATATTCGTCTAGGTGTGGTGGAAATTCACCTTCTGTAAAGGTAGGTCCATCACTTTTCTCTATTATTTTCACTATACCATCCACACGTACCACCTGTAACAAGTGATACAATTATGATTTATTCACTACTCATATGCCGAATTGAAGGTTCTCATAATTTATTTCTTTATCTACCTTCACTCCATTATAAAAATGAACTTCGCAATCTGGATGAGGCCCATTTTCCATAAAAAGACATTTCGATCGGTTCGTATATAATGTAAGCTTCGGTGTCTTTGCTCTTACAAGCTTTATAAAGCGAGAAGCATAAACGTATTTTCTGTGGTGACGTGCGGGTAGATTTTCATAAGAATAAATGCTGTCTGCACCACGGGCTGGTAATGCAGGTGGTTGCGACCCTACTTCCACGGAGATAGTTGGTTTATAAAGAACAACTCTCAATCCATCACTTGATATTCTGCAGACTTCACCTACTTTCTCCTAAATCATCAAGATAATTTTGTATTAAGAAGCTCGAAAGCTGTTTACATCTTCTTTGAACTTACCACTCCATTTCTTCGCTTGATAAATTCAATACAAACTTCACCATGATCCAAAATGGTAAGAATTGCATTCTTTGTTCTGTGTCTAGTAGGCTGCAGTCTTTCAGAAGACAAAGGAGGAACTTGTAATTTTTCGCCATGTTCAGAACCTTCAAAACAACTTTCTGGCTTCTCCTTTTTTTTGTATTTATCATTTTTGTATCTATCAACATCTTCGTATGCATCGCAACCACTGTAATGCTCATTTTGAGAGAATATTCTACTTTGTGGGGGAGGCGGTATTCCAGCTAACACAAAATTCTGTTTTCGATGATAATTAATGCCACTTGTTTTATGTGAATGCGTTTTTGCAATGGGCTCAGACATAGCTTCGCTTCTTGCGCTAAACATGGGTCCCAAACCATTGGATAAGATTGGCATTGTGGACGTTCTTTCTTCTGATTTAGAACGCATTCTTGGTCGTCCATATGAAGACAATGTTCTTCCCAAACCAGAATCAATCATACCTTCCCCTGACAATGCTCTATGCATACCATTTTTTTCGCAATGCAATTTATTTCTGTCCAAACTAGTTATGAATGGATGTTTTGGAATATCACGTAAACGAATTCTATCTTTTGGATTTTTTTTTAATAATTTGTCTATGAGGTCCTTGGCATTATCTGACAAATGTGATGGCATTACATAGTCAGCCATGACTACACGTGTCAAGGTACTCTTGACAGCATCTGTATCAAATGGTGGTTTACCAACTAAAAGAGTATATAACATGCATCCTAAGCTCCAAACATCTGCTTCTAGACCATGTGATGACCTTGTTGCTATCTATTACAATGTAAAATATATTAGATTGAGTCTATCAGTGTTACAAAAGAAAGTTTGTATAAATTATTTGACAAACCTCAGGTGATATGTAATTAGGAGTACCACACATAGTTAAATGTTTTTCATCTGGTCTTGTCAGTTGAGTAGCCAACCCAAAATCTGCTATTTTCTACAATTTAAATTATATTTAATGATTCAAATTTAATTCGAAAGACAAAATTTTATAATTTGCAAATAATCTTACCACTTGCATATCTCTACTCAAAAGTAAATTAGATAAAGACATATCTCTGTGAAGTATTTGATATGAATGCAGATATAATAATCCTTGTACTACTTGTCTTATTATACGGCCAGCTGAAATAATATAAGTGAATACACTACATGCAAATTTTAGAAACATTATAAACTATAAATATATCTACATTTATACCATGCTCTTCAGGTAATGCACAGGAGTTTTGCATCTTAAGGTATCGTTGAAGTTCTCCATTGTGACATAACTCTAATATTAAATAAACATAATTGGCATCCTCAAAGAATGTATATACTTCAAGTACAGCTGGATGTTTCAATCTCGAATGGATCGCAACCTCTTGATATACCCTATCCACCATCCCAGCAGCTTGCATCAATTTTTTGTCGATCTAAAATAATATAGTATTTTTTGTTTCACAAAACTGTTTATATACACGGTGCAATAAATACATCTATGCATGTGCATATTCAACGGAAGAAATTTTCATTTTCAATTTTAAATTAAAGAAAATAATGCAACAAGTGTTTGTAGCAATATAAGTTACAAGTTTACTTAACCTATAAAATTAATGAAATTACCATTTTTATTGCAACTTCTATACCACTTCGGAGACATTTTCCTCGGTACACACTAGCGAATCCGCCTTTACCAAGCAAGTTCAATACTTCGTAATCCTATGTTTAGAAATCATAAACAGAATGTTAAAATCGATGGGTATAAACGTACAAATTCAAAATACTAACCTCTATTTGTTCACCGAAACCTCCCGACAACGGATGCATATCTCACATTCACGTGATGAGACAATAAAATTGTTTCAATCACCGAGGCCACTAAGTGGCGTTTTCTTTATGTTTGAAATGTGTCCGAAAAGAAATATATTTAGGAAAATCCATAAATTTCTAAATAGAAATGACATGGCGCGTTTGCCACATACAAATTGTATACGTCTTCTGTTTACTATAGATGGCGTGCAATTTTATGAATAGGTTTCAATTGTTACCTTCTGAGGCAACACAACTAAGTTGAATATTAACTTTAAAATGTAATTTCTACAATAATGATTTTGTGTTATATAATATTATCATGTATACAAACGCCTAAAAGAATTCATCAAAATAATGTATAAAAGTTCATTGAATACTTTGATACTGTGACGCTCGAAGCACCATATTGGTTTCTCTGCTTCTCCGTTACAGATCTCATTTAATTAATAAAATTAAAATCATACGTTATATATATTTATATGCATTGCTATATTTATAATAACTGTTTTCTTGTTATTTTTTCTTTTGTAAACAAATAAATGTCCAATTTGTCAATTGTGTTATTGCTTAAAAAAGTAATAATTATTTAATCAAATAGGTGAGTGACAAGAGTGCTACAATTTTTAAAAATTTAAATTGATCACCAATTTTCACAACTTCTATTCAATTCTAACAACATAATTCATTCTAAATAACTGTAATTACAAATTAGTTACAAATAATACACAGCATAATATAAATTATGCGCACGGAGTATGTATTAACGTTTCAGCGGAAGTGGACGAAATATCGAAATGCCGCGCAATTCATTAGTACATGATTATTCTACAATATAAATATCTTGATATTTGGAGATAGAATAAACACCTTATATATGTATATATATTAGTGTTTTTAGTCGTTAGTTTCACTTTCACTGCGTAAGGAAATAAATTCGTACTATAATTGTACACTTGTTACAAGTTTCTGTTTACGAATATAAATTTTGTGGCACATGACTCGTTTACATTTTATCAGTACTGACATCTATATCCTTTAGAAGTGAAGAACATGTAGCTGTTTTTTTTTCTTATAAAGTCAGTCTTTGAAAATAACACTACAATCAATTGTTCAGTAGAGTCCAATATTTTTTTACTAAAAGACTGACGTTACATTAAAGTAAAGGATTGCTTTGAGTATTCATAGGCATAGAGCTTTGACATCGTTGAGCGGGAGGCTGGTAAATGGGTTGAGTGCTGCGTTGCTGATTACGTTTTTTATTATAATTAGATTTATTTGGAGGGACAACTCCACTTCCGCTTCTTCGAAATTCCATGCCCGCTGCAAAATCCATGTTTACGAATAAAATCTTTTTCTTATATTTAATAATATATACTATGTACTTAATTTATAAAAAGTTACAGATTTACCAGCTATATGATTCTGTGTTTGCTCATATCGAACTTGCTTGTTATTATACCACTGATCTAATTGTTTCTGATCCATGCCATAGTCTTGAACTTGGTACTAATATAATTATACAAAACATAGTAATTAGTTATATATAATAATTATTATATTATGAATGCAAGAATTGTTTATAGTTTACATACATCATCTGTTATTGGCAAACAGTCCACTTGAAGTACTTCTTCATAATTTTCAAACCCTTTAAATTGAACTACGCAGGTTCTATCCGATACACCGGTCACTTTCGCATTGTAATACTAAAATTTAGAAATAATTATTATATTAAATGAAATTCATAATATGCAAACATAATATAGAGTATACCTTACCCTATTATCTTCCCAATATTTAGCTAAACATTTGTCGCCAACTCGCCAAACCCAAGAACTGCCAACAGAAACATTAGCACTTTGATTGTTACTATAATGACTTTGAACTCTTTGACTGTTGGGTCCTATAGTACTCTTGCCCCCAGAACTGTCATTTGGTTGAAATTTATTTAATTGATTTTTGTAATTTTTATCATTTGGGTTTGTAGGATATACTCTATGCGTTACGTCTTCTTGTGGTCGATTATGCCTACCATAAGAAGCATCATAAGTTTGTCTATTCCTGGCGTCAGTCTCGTGATGATTGTAACTCCTGCTGCTACCAAAATTTTTTCCTTGTTGTTCTTGCGAACCTTTATAATAATTACTATTATCGTTAACGTTTGTTCCATCTACATGCATTTGAAAACCGGAATTTCGGGCATCATTCAATTGTGATTTCTGGTATGTTTTGCTTCTAGTATCTTGTTGATTATAATTATGATTATCTTGATTTTTTTGAAATCTTGGCGGTTTGTTTTGTTGAGAATTATTTCCTCCATTGTATTGTGAATACTGAGGGGTGCTAGTATTACTAAAGTTTAATTTCTTATTATTTTTGTTTTCTTCTGAATGCCTTGGTGGAACTTGATAACCACGTCCTCCTCTCTGACTTCTATTAAAATAAGTAGAATAATTATTTTTAACAATTTCAATAACAATATTATACTGTTTTAATAGATATATACCTTCCACCTCTTCTACTTTGTGCATCATTTGTTTTCACTTCAACTCTATCGTAACTATTTTCTGTGTTCTGTGTATGACTATTTTGAGATGTAATATTAGTCTCAGTAGTTTCAGATTGTATAGGTAATTTATCTTCTAGAAAATCAAAAAGAGATATTTTTCCACTACTTGGTTTATTTTCTTCTGATTTCTTATCAAATCTTTTATTTCGAGGTTCTCGAGTTTCTTTTAGTGTACTAAAATAATTTCAAGTATTATAATGTGGATTGCTGGTTTAGTAGTTTAAAATAAGAGAAAATAAGTATACTTGTGTTTGTTATCGGTCTTCTGCAAACTCTTCAATGCCTTATCAACATTGTTTCTATTGAATTTCAAGGCATACTCTGCTTGTTCGATAGAGAAACCTTGGTCTACTATTTTTTGTACACTGTGATCTAAAAGCTACAAAACCATCATGTGATTGTAATGTTGTTATAAAATTGACTTTGTTGTTGAATAATTAATTTGATATACCTGTTTATTTCCACCACCAAAAATTTTCTTGCTACCTTGTTTAGCTGCTTCTGCTATAGCATCTTTGCGCTGAGCCTCAAATTCTGCATTTTCTTTACTAGATTTTTCCTTCTCTGCTAAGGCTTTAAAGTTTTTGTCATTTTCAGACACCTTTATAATTTTTTTACCAAATGGTATCCAAGGTGGAGGTCCACCTTCTTCTGTTGATCGTACTCTTGTATGTAAAGCCAATTTCTGTTATGATATTGTATTTGATATACATATATTAAAAAAAGTTGTTTTCTTTAATATTTAAAAAAATAAAATAATACAACCTACTTTGTTTAATTCCCATTTCTCTACTAGATTCGTTACTTTTCCTCCAAGTACTTGTACTATATGCGACGGTCTTAATAAAATAATTCCATGCGATGTTGGTAGCTCTACTGATCCAATTAAAATCTTTGTACCAGGCGGTGTATTTAGACTAGAATGTATGTTATGCGATAGAATCTATTATTCATAGAAATTATGAATAAACTGTAACAATTTGACCATTTACCTTAAAGAAGAAATGTGTTCAAGCTCTATAGCTTGGTAATTATTTTTACCATCGGTCAAAGACAACTTCAATAAACGTGGAGCTGCACGAGACTCCTCGTTGTTTTTAGGTGCAGCTACGTTGCGAATTTTTTGTATTTGTAATACAATATTACCTTGAATAGCATCTCCTTGACCATTTCCGATTTCTCTCAAATCCAGCTATAGTATAAATAAAATAATGAATACCTAGCCTAACCACTATCCATGGACAAAATATATAAAATACATTATTCTTACATCCAATAATCGCTTTATGATTTTTTGGATATCGACAATATTTCCAGCATCGCTTGCAATATAGTAACCATGATCTGTGATGTACCTAATTTGTATGTTCAAATATAATTAATGCATTCAGTTCTTTTGTACAGGGTGTATCCCAACATGTACAACTCTTAGACATATTGCAAGGTATATCGCAACATTAACAGGGTACACATTCATATAAATTTTCTTTCTTTTTTTTATAAAATGAATCCCGCATGTCAAGAAACACCCTGTACAATGGATTTTTGATTACTAAGCCGTACGAATATTTTCGTGACTCATTGTGAACCAGGTATGTCATTTTTATACGCACCATCCTTTATCCTTCAACTTCATAATATTCACCGTCATCGTGTCCTCGAACTAGATTTTTTCTCAAGGAGCCAATCTCATTAATTCGCCGACTTTCCCAAGAGAAATTTCATGTGCGTTGCATGCGTGTACACGACATGTACATAAACATGTGTCAGCTGACGTGAAAACTAATGGGGAATAGATCTCCAGAGAATTAACGATCGCGAAGAGAGATTGAATCTCTTGACAGGTATTTATTGTTGTTTACTAAACGTTTCGGCACCTTCTATTTTTTCCAAACAATGGGGAAAAAGAACCGCGCCTATCGGACTTCGAGTCCTCGACCACCATCTTGGACGTTTAGTGCACTGTGATTTTAAGATCGATATATCGGTGTGCTGTAACAATACGACACTATCGATACATCGTCTAGCATTTAAAAATAGTCAGAATCGGTAACAATTCGAATAAATATTTCGGCCAAATGTTTATTTCGACAGAAATTGCATTTGAACATTTCAATGTGACACGTTTCAATAAAAATTTTCCACAAGAACACCGATAACCATGTTACGATACATTCGATTAGCACGATATTAATTTAGCTGCGTTTCATCGAAATTGTATTAATTACAACTACTCCACGGACGTTTAATCAAACTTCATTTTTCCAGATGATTATTAAAATCTGATAAACAAAGTAAAATTAATTTTTCCTTTTATGACGAGTATTCCAAGGTTTAAAATGAATATTAAAGTTCGTATTTTATACACATGTACAACTTTATTCTCATTCCATTGTGTCAATAAATTCCAATTTTCCGTAAATGTATAAATCCACACCAATGTTTTCGTGGACTTTTTTATTCGAGACTTGTTAAACGAAGTTTCCAACGACTCAATAGAGGATTTTATAATAGCGTCTGGATGCAGCGTGTAATTTGTTACGTAACGACACGCAGTGACAAAGTAATCGAACGTAAACAGAGAGAAATGTTGGTTGCGGATAGCGCCGAGGGAATCGCGCGAAAGAACTCCGCATCGAATCAGCGGACTAATTGAAAGTGGTTCGTCGTTGTTCGAAAACGGTCGTCGAACGGTAACACGCCGAGGAAATGGGTCACGCGGGCCCGGTGTTTCTCGCGTTAGCTTCTAAAATCAAGTTTCGGTGGACAGTAAAAGTGAGTGACGTTCCCCAATTCTCGAAATTCCACGGACCGCGTTCTCATGTCCAGCTTACGTAAATAAAATTACCTTGACGTTGGTCATCGTATCTTCGAATCATCTAAATACACACACACATACGTGCACACTCTTCCAATTATTTACTCTTGCCTTCCTAAGACTAGAACTATAACGAAATCACGATAATTCCATCGTTCCACTGAACCTTCAATTCTATTGAGTTTCTAGATACGAATTAATTTTATTTTTCATGGTTACATAATTGTTTATATATTTACTCATGTGAAATAAGCAAGACACAGGCACAACTTTTATTTTCAAGCCTTCGTAAGACCACAACTGTAACGAAACCACAATAATTCCATCGTTCCACTTAACTTTCAGTTCTATTGAATTTCTAAGTGCGAATTAATTTTATTTTCCATGGTTATATTTCTTTTTATTATTTATATATCATTTACCCGTAAGTTTCGAGGGAGTTTTGTATGGTTATATAATAATTTATATATTTACTCATATGAAACGTGCAAGAAACGAACATAACTCACATTTTCAAGGTGACGGGAGGTGTTCCGCGCATTTCGTGAAACGATTATGGCCACCAAATTCACAGAGGTCATTACCGCCAGCGACCCCCATGGCGATGTTGAATAAGAGAGGCATTAACCGCTGATCGGTCCAATTTGAACCGATGATTATTACACGGGCCGAGCCCCGTTTGAACAAACGATGAAATTAGATCAGATAGGAACTAACTTTGGAGATGACGGAAGCGTGTAGACACGTTACAAAATAAGACCCGCCCATATCGTTGCACCGAACGTTCGTGAAAAAATTGTTCGGCCATGGTGATTGATCACCATAAATTATTATCTCGTGTTCTATATATAGAACTAATTGACCTACCAAGTTTCCACCTGCTGTAATATCCCGATGAATTGCTTGTTTGCTTTGCCAGTTTTATTAATAGATATCGGAATTCGACACGAGAAAGTTATATTCCTATTCATCGAAGTTGTAAGACCGAACGTAAGTTTTATTAATTATTACAGAAATACAAATGTTGTCTCGTGGACATTGAATATTCCCGTTTATACGATTCACCGGATGTAACGACGGTCACCGAGGGCCGCGTAACGATGCACTTCGCCGCGTTTTCACATACTTGCCGGTCGTTCGGATTCGTCGCAACACCTTGGAAATGCAAAGATCGTGTGTTTTCTAAAAAAAGAAAGCGCGGCGCCTCGCGTTTTCCACTCGTAGACATTCCCGTGCGCTTTAATTGTGCATTACGGTCGTGGGAGAAAATTATCTTTGCGTTACTGGGTCAGGTTTGGCCGTTGCCGGGGCGGGCGGCGGGGTGGAAAAAATAATTGCGACGCCTAAGGTGCGTCGGACAGGATATAAATAATACAGGTCGACTTTTATGCGTTCCTACGAAAGGAGCCCCCCGTTTATAACATTGAAACTCGTCGGCTGAAATTATCACTCTCGCGCGAGTGTTTGAACGTTGCCCCGCGGATCGTCGGATTAGCGTGAAATGAATTAGGATCGATCACGATATTCCCGGAGGAGCAATTTTCTCTTGCGTTCACGCTAGACTGAATACGCTAAAAAAGTTGGAAATCTTTTTATTCCTTGAATTCTTCTTCTATTGATTTACTAGTTTTATGAACCCTTTATTTCTCGGCGACATCGCTTTGAAACCATATACACCTAACCCTCGATTTACGCGGATTCCTTTCACGCGAGCTTCTTTTTTACACGGTAAATTGGAACACTATTTACGCGGTAGTTTCTACGCGCGATCACAATTTACGCGATCTGAATTTAGTAACAGCGAATAAAATATACTTGTGTTTTCTAGAATGTTATTATTATTATTTCTTTTGTTAAGCTAAAATAAATATGTATTTCTAAAACTTACGTCAGCTTTTCTCTTCAATATTCTGTTTTCTCTTGTACCGACAGGCTCCATTTACGTGATTTTCGTTCGCGTAAAACGAGCCCACGTGGAACGGATTTTCGCGTAAATCGAGGGTCAGATGTATGTCAATATCAGTAAAATGCGGGCCAGTAAACTAATCTCAAAGTCACTAGCACAACATTAACATAATAGTAACCATTTATTATGTTTCACAGTTAGAATAGCATTTTTTATAAAAATATTTATTTCGTTAAAAATGGTAAGCTAATTAACGTATATTGTGAAGGTAAATGTATTTTTCCTAAAAACTTTTGTTCGGTAACTAAAAGTTAATATTATTAACGGCGAAACTGTGGATCACCTTTTAACGACATAACCTCATAAGAAAGATTGTAAGAAATATAAGATGCACGAATTGATTTGAGATGCATGGAGTGTGCCGAGTATCGATTTGGCAGGAATAAGTGGAACGTCGATGTACGATCCAATACTTGAGGATATGGTGCTCTATTGAATCGCTTCTGTACATATGTACATTGTGTTTCAATAATTCTTGCCACTTGCAGCCGGATGGTATATGAATAGACGGTAGGATTATTAGGAGCGGCGTATGCTCGTCTGGGTTAGCTGTCTCGTTTTACTTAACGCGTCAAAGAGGAAACATACGAATTAATATAGGACACATTGTACTGTGGAAGATGCATAATAGAGACGTAACGTAAACAGGCTCATTGCTTGGACATCTTAGCTTGAACTTGTAGGAAAACGTTACACCGTAACGTAATATTGTTTTATCCGCTACAAAAGTCGGAATACATAGATGTAAAAAGTATGGATAGTCATCTTGTTTCAAATTATTTGGAAATTAGTACATTAGTAGTTATCATATATAATAATCCTGTCACCTAGGACAACACCTGCTAAGGTTATAAAACAAATGGTATTACATAAATATATATTCACCTTGTTTAATTAACGCTAGAACTATCGTACCAAATGACTAGTTTCGATTTATTTGTTTCGCAAGTATTGATATCTTCAAAGCATTGAATATTCGAAATGAAAATAATCTATTGTTACAATTTTTATATGGGTTACATATTAATCGTATTAAATGCTCGGCAGTTCTAGTGTTAATCATTCGATTATATAATCTTTGCTACTTTTTATAGTTGTTCCATTGTTCTAGATTAATCATCGAGTCCTAGATAGTTTCAAAGAGACGCAGAAATTACGATGTCCTTTAGGGTTGCGCCCCGCAGAAGCTACCACCCTTTCTACACTCAAGCATGCGAGCACACGCACGGCATCGATTACGGCAGGGTCGAAATCAATTGGCGCCTCGAGGCCACTGAATAATTACACCCATTACAATACTCACTGATCGCTCAATTATTCCCCCCTCGTCTTGCAGACTGAATTTTTCCGGAAAGTTACGATCCAACATGAAATCAAGTCTTTTCACAGACTCCTTCGAAGTGATTATTAAAAGGAGCTATGTACTTTCTAGCTTCTTACTTTCTCAAGCACTAACCATTTTATTACTTTTATTCCAACTATACCTCGCGAATGTACGTCAACCCTCATCTATTTACTTATTACGTTGAAATATACGCGTGTCACGAAGGTGTCCTGTTTTACAGCTCTTTTTACTCAGCAAAACAGATGATTACTTTAGGGATATCCTTTTTTTCGGACGTGCGTGCGTCGGAATTCCCATGCACGATAAGCACGCTACGAGATGTCCAGTTTACACGTCTCCGAGAAATCCTCATGACCTCGTACCCCTAATTTCACCACACCCCATGTACAATCGCCGAGAGCGTCGCGTCGCGCGTTTAGCTAATCGGTTTCGATCGGTCGACAAATTTACGCACCCACCGACACAAACACAGCTCGTTCCTAAACGCGAATAATGTCTCCACGCGCAGTGTTCGCGGAGACGAACTCTCGTACCCCACTTTTGGCAGCGTACCGGATCTCGACGGATTCTCCGTGCGTCGCATCGCACGATGGTTGCACACACGACGCGTATGAGCGGCTTACGGTCGTATGCACATAAAGATATACCGAGGACCGACAGCGTTAAGGGGCCTTTCTACCGCGACGTTTTGCAAAAATCGATTTTCATTCTGCTTTGAAACAATTCGTTCTCAGCCGTCTGAGGTATTAGCTCGAAGAACCACATACGGATTGAGATGCGAGTGTTTGGGGGAAACGACTAATTATTCGCACGCATACATCTGTACTTTATATTAGAGTCAGCTTGGAAATTGTATTTTGAGTTTATTGGAAACGAAGATATCGAGAATGTTTTTGAGAAAGAAGGATCTTGAATGGGAAATTCTGATGGAGTCAACTTCGAAATAAAGCTGTTGTAAAATGTGCGAACCGTTCTTTTGTTCCTATTGTTCGGTGAATGTTTCTTTGTCGTTCGAGTTAGAACTAAGTCAATATCTGTAAAAATTGAATTTCGGAGTTTGCCTTCCTTCAAAGGTTAGTTTGCTTTTTATTCTGCAATGTACATTTTTAATTCTGATTCAGAGGATAGCTACGCTCGTGCAAATTAAGAATGTTCTTGCTTTCTCGATGTCACATAATCGGAGCAGTACAACCCCGCAATTTTCACAGATCGCTCCAGTAACTCCGAACGTAACGACAACTTCTGCCCCAAAGAATTCCTGCGCATACCCGAAGTACGCAGCAACAATCCGGCGAAGTTTAAGATCGATAAGTTTCATGGCTCTCTTTAGCACTAGCTTTACGAACATTCGTAGTACAGTTTATTCCATTGTTCCCAGAAAAATAGACAACCGTTCATGAAGATCTCGAAAATTGGGGGCTGGGAAATATACGATGAAGATATATGATCGTGCACCCGCTTCAGTCGAAATCTACGCGAACACTCACCAAATAACATTTACAAAATTCAATATGCATGAAGTAGACGCGTTTCTTAACCCTTTGCATTCCAGAGGCGCCTCTGATTTGACACAGCAAAATTGTAAAATTTCATATTTAATATTAAATTTTGTATAACGCATCAATATGTGAAATATTGGAAGAAAATAGTTTTCTTTCTCAATGTATGTGCGATTTTTTGCAAAGACAGTTTCAGAAAATACTGAGTATTTCCAGTGAAAAACTTCTGGAGTGCAAAGGGTTAACCCTACAACTACCGCGCCCGTCAAAATGGTGTACTTCAGTTTCCCTATTTCGCAATGACTGACATCTTGAAAGTATCAAAATACCCGAAATAATTTCAAAAACAGCCAGTCTCCCTTGAATTCTGTAATGAACACAGGGAAAGATACCGAAAAAAATCTGTCAAATCAATTAATCATATCAGACACTCGGTAGTTCTATTAAACCTTGCGTCCAACAAATTCCCGTACATCGCGGTGTTTTGAAACGGTCACGGTAGGGAGGCCGCTTAAGCGATGATTCTCTGCCGGCGAAGGGGTGGGGTAGAGAGATTCGAATAAGTAGGAGAGAGGGAGAGTGAGTGTCAGGCGAAGGAGAAGTAAAACCTCGGGCGACAGAGAAGGGAATAAAATAACCGGCTGGTCGGACGAAGACGTACGGAGAAAATGAGAAGTAGAGGGGCTAAGGGGGGAGGGAGGGAGAACATAATCGGTGAGACCGAGCAGAAGGAGAGAGGGAGCCGCGCGACCCGGGGACAAAGCGAGAAAGAGAGTTTTACCCATTTCAGTTTCACTCAGAGCCCGGCCTGAAATCGCGCGTGTCCACGCGGAGCCGAGCCACTCGCGCCCGCAGCCTCGTGTCCGAGAACCATACTGTACAGAGCCGAACCGCGATTTCCCGAGTCGCAGTGGTCCGCGAACAGTTTCCGCGAGAGCCGATCCTGAGTTTCCCGCACGGCGCGTCGTCAACGTCGCGGCAACGAGTGCCGACAGTTCCGAGCCCGTGTCCCGCGGAACGGTGTCACGTTTCGTCGCCGCGCGAAACGAGTTTCCATCGACGTACCCGGCTACGGCGGAACGAAAACCCGACATACGGAACGATGTGAGTACTGATCACGAATTCTCGTCGGCCGATCGGAGCGTCTCGGTGTTTTCGGTTAGGGTACGCACGGATTCGCTGGTATCGTCTTCAAATTCAAACTGAACGGATCCCTGGCTCGCGAGGATCGATTGATAAGAGATCGGAGCGATTCATTCCTTAGAATCGATGAGTTTTCGCGAACTGAAAGGCCAGTCGTATTGGTACGGCTACCGTTGCACGAAGAATAGACACCGAGCCGGCGGTTCTTCGCGGGATCGCCGCGGTGGTTTAATTAGACCCGGTTATAGGGTGCATCGCGCGATAAGGCGCGGATTAAGCGACGCCCACGGGCGCGGAACGCAAAGTCACGGTGGCCAGTGATGTCGAAAGCCACAGCTGCTCGGCTTACAGGCTGTTCACGCGTGTCGACATCTCGGTTGTAATTGCGATTTCGAAAATCGATGAACTGGACAACTTCCTTGCAACCGATCGCCTCTTTCCTTTTTGTTTTCGTGATTTTCCGTTAAGGAGGTTCGTTCGTGTCGGAAATCGTGAAGGAAGGGTGAAGGAATGGATAGATGAGTGGGATCGAAATGATAATTGTTCTTTTTGGAATTGTAAACCGCGAATCGTGACCGATCGGGATTTTCCAGCATCCATGTTGTTACGGAATCGACAGCATTGTTGCGAGCACTCGCGCGAACGGGCGAACGCGTGTGCGAGCGCGCCGGGCGTGTTGGAAACGCGCGGGTAATAGTAGACGCGAGCATCGTAACGCGGACGTAGCGATCGCGCGGGTAGAACCCGATGACCTCGGACGCCGTGTAACTTTCGACCGACTGAAAGGAACCCTTCCTTCGACTCTTTCCTTGATCGTTCTTCTGTGTTTTTTCCCCTCTTGCGTATTCTACTACCGTTGCCCTCTCCTGCTGGTCGGCTCGGATTCCATTATTCATCTTGATAGAGTATCGGCTACGAACACTTTGCTGCCATCTCCCGATCTAACAGTTGTTACGAAAGTATTCGTGTATTTCGTTTTTGGGAGTTCTTTCTCAATCGGGATAGCGTTTCTGTACAGGGATTTTCATAACATAACTATTCTCTTGCTTGAATTTAACGTTGCAGCAACTTGTTGCAACGGTTTGCAGCGCTTTTCGTACGAAAGTATGCGAACACTTTCAAGATAACTGGATATATCATTGAATTATTGTTGGGTATTGAATATTGGAAAAGTTTGAACTTAATCTCTCTAAGGATAATGTCACATATGTGTATATTTGATAATGATTACATGTGTGATTATGTATGTATGCATGTGTATGAATAGCCTATTGGAAACGGAAACTTCCTCTGTTTTTAAACAATTGGTTCTTGAGAAGGTTAGTCATCAGGTGTGAAATCAGCGATTGCTATGATGACTAATAACTGCTTCGTTTAGGCACTCGTATTATATGTGATCGCATAAAGCACAGTTGAGTAAGTGATTCAACGAACTACCAAGAGAGCGTTGAAATTTGTTCTGTAATATTTACAATAAACAGATCACCAAAGATTAATGAACGAATGCTTGCGAAATGCGTAACCTTCGCTGCGTCCCAGGATATCAGAACACGTAAACAAGTAATCAATCGATTGACCCAGAAAGCATCGCACAGATTCAATTTCTCTCTCCATTGTGACTGTTTTTTATAATATAACATAGCTATCATTCCTTTTAACGGCCACAGAAGATCGTAACGTTCAAATTTCTTCAATACCGTTCTCAATAAATGAAACATCTCTGACTCAACGTCAGTATGTATATCCATGAGCAAGAAATCCATCAGTTGTTGACACAGTTGCTTATAAATATCGCGTTGCTTTAATCGCCCCATTAGCTGGCGCCGTTTCCTTCTAGTATAATCGAATACTGAAAATGTCATAAACTCTTCCCATAATGTTCACAATGAAAAGTAATGCGCGCAATGTTCCCAAGGACCTCCCAATCCATCAACAGTGCAAATAATAAATATTGACTTAACCCATACCCGATACAACCGAATCCCCGGCGCTCCAGGAAACGCAGCGATTTCGTCGCCCTGACCTTTCGAAAGCCAAAGCCGGCAAGGTTCGGCAAATTCGCAGACTGTGACGACACGGACCGAATCGTGTTCGAGGGGGGTAATATGGGAGCGTGTTTTTAACGATTTTCTCATCGTTGACTTAACCTTCGGAGCCGCAGCCTCGACTGGGGACGTTCCGGCGCCGATCCTTCGCAGCTCTCTGCTTTTTCTTCGCGTAAATCAGTGGGCGTTCGGCAAACGGTGCTCGGAGAATTACGCCGCGACTTCGGAGAAAACGGACTCGACCAGAGTCGCAGCTGCATCCTCGAAACTCCCCGAGAACGCGACGTGCCTCCTCGATGATGCGGGTACGCGGCGATGATGTCAAGCGAGCTGGGTTTCTGTTTTCGTTCGAAGGTCTGATTCATACAGGCTGGCTCTCCGCTGCTGCGAGTATCGAGAAGCAGCGATTTAACCGATCCTTTACGCAACACTATGGCCGAGTAAGACATTAAGTCCTGGTCGCTTCGACGCAGCGTCTCCGATGACGTCTTCCTGTGGAATTGTTTTACTGCTTTCAGGTGCATAGGGAATTCGGTTGATTACAGTTTTAATCGTGACATGTTCTCATTTGCGTGGAATTCTCCTTTGTATTTATGCGTTCGGGTTTCGAATACCAGCCAGCCATGCTGGTATGCCGCGTCCTTCGCAATTGTTTCGAGAGAAATGAAACGTTGCTACGTGTAAATATGCGTAATAAAATTCATTCAGAAGGAGTCTAATGTCTCTTAGGGATAGTATATACACAATCTCACATTTGACCTAGTAAATTGTGTCCAAATTATGGTAAATTATGGAGTTGCCGCAAAAGAATTAAAAAACAGCTGGAGACTGGAAAAGTTTAGCAATAATACTTTTGAATCTTGACGAACTCGCATTTTAATCTGTGCGTTTGCATTTCGAATAACAGCTGATATGTTGCATGTTTCGCAATTGTTTCGAGAAAAATAAAACGTTGCAACGTGAAAGTGTGCGTAGTAAAATTCCTCCAGAAAAGTGAAATCTAATGTTTCTCCGGCATAGCAGATAAACAATCTTAAAGACCTAATAAATTGTGTCGAAATTATGGTAAATCACGGAGTTGCCGCAAGAGAATGTAAAAATAGTTGCAGGGTGGAGAAGGTTAACAACAATACGATTCTTCGTGTTTTGAATCGTCGTTGGTAGTTGACGATAAACTTCTTTTCTGCAACGCCCTCGAATACGGTAATCGGGCGACGCGAAGTCTGGACAACAGACAGGCCGTGAAGTTTATCCGCATTCAATCCATCAACCAGGGAAACGGCTTTGTAATACCTGACGTGCTTGTCGTGCATGATGTGCAGCATTGGTGTCGCATGCCTTATAAACGAGAATCATATCTCGATTTTCTCTATTACTAAATCTCATCGTTACGGACACTTGCCACGTTCACTTCTACTGATTTTAGTTTACATAGCAATAACCGTGGCGTGTTTCCATAGCCGTGTTTATAAATACCTCGCGTTTGGGTTCGAGTATTACTCACGGCTACGTGTTGCATGGGTTTTTCGCTCATGGAAGTTTCATTGCCTCTCGAGAGGAATTAATTCGATTTTATCATAAAACACGTCGGTTCTCTCAACTTTTTCTGCGTGTAACGATGATAACATCAACGTGTATTTCTTCGATAATGATCTTTCAGGATTACAAAGACTTAGAAGTCGTGAATTACTGGCGGGTCGCAGATATTCGTGCAAACGCAGATTTTCGTGGGGCGATTAACAAGAAGTGGAAGGGAATAGAAATTTGATTCGTTTTTTATTCTTCTGTTCGCTAAGTCGTGGAAAATTTTCAGATTTGAACGTTCCATGATAGTTTCTTAGATAATTTCTTCCATGAGAACAGTTCCGAGGAAAGGTGGAGCTTGGGCCGAGTGTTTCTAGCGCGATCAAACAGACCTGGGCCGATAAAACGGTTAATTTAAACGTCTCGTAACAGGCAAAAAGTGCGAAGTCGTTTGCTCGGCTAGCGATGGTAATAAGAGTTCGAGCGACGACGACGACGCTCGGAAAAGTGATCGATATGTCGAAGCGAGAGCGCTCGCAATTACGACTCGGTGAGGAATTGCGTTGCTCTAATTAAGCTTCTCGGTGGTCGGGGTGCCATTTACGATGGCCCCGGACGCCATTTGCGCCGGCACAGGACGAGGAAGGAAGTGCCGTCTTGACGTCACGCGCCACAGGTCTCGATCGTCTTCCATTATTTTTTCTCTGCGTTTCACCGAGTTATGTCCTAAGTTCGTAGTGTTTTCTTTCGCAAGTGAAATTTTTCTACGGTCTACTCTCGAGCCTTAAATATTCGAAAGAATGAAACAGGTTAAAATGTTCGTTTTTCTCTGTAAGATCAAAATATTAAATAGTTCACTTTACATACAAATTAAAAGATTCTTATTTGTTAAAGATAGATAAGAACCATTTTAAATTCGAAGTTATTCATTCAATCAACCCTTTGCCCTCGACAATTTTTCTCCCGAAATGTTCAACATTCTCCGATGAGATATAGACGATGTTCTCGGAAACTCACTAATGAGGAAACGTACGTAAATTACGAAACAAGGCTACTTTATTTCAATACTTCACATACTGATGAATTATGCAAAGCTCAGTAATATGTATCGAACTTCATGAAGTTAAGGTTAGATGAGTATAGAAATGAAAAACTCTCATGCTTATTCGATAATGGCCCTCTGGCTTCAGAAAAAATGAGTTTCAAAATTATATGTCACTGTAATAAAACAATCAATAATATCACACTAATAAAATACGAGTTATTTAGAGATTATAATTGAAAGGAAAGCAAAGAAAACGGAGAAAGATAATAATTCCAAGTATGGAGACTTAGAACGACACTTTGTTTTAGCATACTTCTTCTAATCGTTTTGTTACAGTAACATACAAA